CTAATGTTACTTAGCTTTGAAGAATATATTTTCCTTTTCCCATTGTCCTCTGGACCTTCTTTCCTTTGACCTGTCCCAATAACTACCTTTCTTACCTATCTCCAGACATAGATACCTACCTTTGTACATGCAGTTCTATCCTGTGACCCATGCAAAACAAATTCTAGGTTCTCAGTAACTCTGTGAGAGAAACTACCTTGCAAATAGGCACAAGACAGTGCTTGTGGGCCATTTCTGAAAGAAGCAGGGACATGGTATTTCTATCCTGGGGATATGGTCAAGTCTGAAGGACAATGGGATTAGCCAGTCTAAGGTCAGAAAAGCTTGGGGCTGCTGTCTGCACAGAATACAGTATACTTTGATGTGGCAGCTTCCAGGCTAAATTAGCTTTGTGGTAGAGTCAAGGTGGAAACAGAGAAAGCTGAGAAGAAGCAGCCATCCAGGAGATGAGATACGAGGGTGGTCTGATGTCACTAGTCTGTGAGGCAGGGCTGCAATCATCAGATAGGCTTCACACACTGTGCCTGTGGTGTGTTGTTGCTCCTACTCTTTCCTCCTCAACCATGAATAGGAAATGTCCTGATGTCCTGATGCCTGGTTCTGATGAATGGAAAGGTAGCACTCTCTCTCCCTCTTGCTCTCATGATTGCAGAGGCCAGACTGTATTTCAGATACATCTTCTCCAGTTTCAAAATTCCCACCAGAACCGGAACAATTAGATGTGTTGTTGAGGTTTTTTGTTGATATTTCAGGCAGTGTTTTATGCTTAGGATGAAAATTTTTAAGTTTAGGAAAGTTTAGTGGAAACTTAGTTGATGTAGTTTCCAGCTTTGTTTTATCTAGGCTTAAAAATATTGTATTTTAATTTTCTTAAGCAACCACTGCCTTCCCCATCAGCTTATTTATTTGTCAGTGGCAGCTTCAGTGCATGTGGATCAGTAGCATCACTATTCCATAGTGTGATTTGCAAGAGAAATTATAATTCATGTATTAACAGTGTGAAATAAATGAAGTTTGGTAAGTGCATAGGGGTGAGTTGTTCACTTCCTGCTATTGAAAACAATTTATTGTCAAATTAGTGATGGCTGCATTTGGCTTTATAACTAGCTCTCCAAGGGACGGTTGTTAATACTGGATGACAAAACTGAGACTGGGGGAAAAAAGAAGAGCATAAGACCATAATTAAGTAATGAGGAAATTGCTATCCAGTAAGACTGAAGAGTATGCAAATTATATTTTTTTCTGGCTTTACTAAATTCTTTTAAGAGAGCAACGGGCTGTAACTAACTTGGTTGAATTTCTGTGTGTTTATGAATAGAGTGTTTCTAGGATAGTAAGAAATAAAACCCAGTAGAGACTGGGTTCACAAATCTCAGGAATTCCTAATACACAGTATGGTAAATTCTTGCCATGCCTTGCCCTGGTGTGGCCAAGAACAGCAACAATATTCTGTATGAAGTTTCCTTGATGTTTTAATAGAGATCCATCAGTTTTTAAAATCTAGTGATTGGGTGGATTTTCCTTTTTTTCTTACTCTTCTAACACAGACAGATGCATAGCTCCAGATACTAAAATGAGTTAAGAATTTGCTGAGAATAACTTGCCTGTGAGGAATCTCCTTTGAATTAAGCTACTTCTGGCATCACTGCTGGCAGGTAAGCAGGTGCTAGAAGGTGACTCTCCAGACATGTGAAGAATCAGACTCCTGATATATGGCAGTGTTGCAGACAGCTGATTTACAGCTGCCTATATATGTGTGTGTGTGTGTGTGCATATGTGTGTGTGTATTTATGTAATTGGACTTTCTGTAGCTAACAAAGGGTAACTGTAATCATTCTTGTATTCATCCTACCTGTGATGGATTTTAGACTGCTAATGCATCCCACGCCATTTATTTGAACTGGCAGTGTGATCATCAAAGTTGTGGTTTGTTCAAGTGTTTAGATAGAAACATACATTTCAGTGTACAGAGGACTTTGTAAAATGTAATTTTGTTTGTACTTGAAAATTCCCTGCTTGTACTTACCATTAACGTCCTTCCTGTGCCTAAATTCTCAGAAATAACAGGGTGCAGTTTACTGTTTAATATGGGAAATGAGAGGAAACCCATAGTACTACCTAGATTGTTTTGCTCAGTTGCACAAACCAACAATATGTATAATGTTTCATGTGGTGGGAACAAATAAATAGTCTTCGGTTCCATACAGTCAGCCAAGTTTATCATGTTCATAATTCTGTCTTCTATGCTTCATGCCCTTTACTTAGCTAATTCCCCAAATACTCTGCATTCATCTCTTGGACCATGTGGGTTATAATCTTTATATCTTGCTTAAGTAAGCAAGCAATCTGTCTCCCTCCTTACATGGGTTTTCTGAATAATTCTATTCAATAATACACAGCCAAGCTTTGGATCAGATAATGATAGGAGTAAGAAAGAGAGAGGACAGCTTTTGACATGGGAAGCGGAGCCATGAGGCACTGAATTGGTAGGAGATGCTAGGGGTAGAGTTTTGTTAATTTGCTTAACGGCTCAGTAAGGTAAGGCATTTCCCATTTCTAAAAGGAACAACTCATTCTCTTTAAACTGATAAACTGTTGGGTTTTTTGATTCTTTTCTCCTTTTGCACAGGAGGTCGTAGGGTGGGTTATGTATGTGTGCCCACATACTGTTTAAGATAAACATTGCTCTTGTCACTTTAACAGAAGAGTCCGATATGGCATAAAATGGGACTAAAATGCAAATGGGTCATTGAATTAGAAGTTTCACAAGAGTGAACTTTTACTTTGTTACAGAGAGCGCTGTAATTGATGCTTTATGTGTACTGTGCTGCCATTAAGTTAAACTTGCAGAGAGAAACCTTGTTTTTATCAAAGGATGGCTTTAATTAGCTTCTTTGGGAACATTCAAAAGTAGAGATACTACTGATAGGAGTTTGCAGCTCTGTGTTCTTTCACTTAGCTTTAATTCCCACAAAGCTCACTGTACAAACTCCTGATGCCTGTCATCTAGGAAGGGCCATAAATATACTTATCTATGATATTCCTCAGGAATTACAGATAGTTACTTGCTGTCTGTAACTTCCTCCAAAAACCTTTCAGAGTTGGCGTTTGTGCATGAACGCAGTAAAGTAATCCCCAGAAGAGTTACACTCCTTGCTTCCCTTGACGAACAGTCACCAATACAACACGTGTCCTTCCTGTGCCTGCTGCATGATCCAAGTGGAGCATTGGGGAGCTAAGATGAAATACGGATTGCAGTATCAACCTACTGAGACCATGACTTCTCTTGTGGAAAATGAAATTTTGCAGATAGTTGGCTTTATTTCTAGTGGCATGGTTCCATACCCAAAATGATCCTGTCGCTAGGATGAGCCTCAGCTAGGCAGCTGAACCTGCCATTCATTAGAAGCAGCTGGAGTCTGTTAGCATGCTCACCTGCCTGCCAACAGCAGCTAGTAAAATTTGAAGGTGATTTTCTCGTTTGGCACTCTGTGCCTCTTTCTGTAAAGGTAAGAATCTGAATAATTATTAAGTTCTGGGTTATTTCTATAGCAAAACCTCACATGATTTTTTTGTAGCAGTAGGTGTCTCCTGCCCTCTTAGTGGTGAACTCTAAAGAAACCAAACTTTTGTATGAAACAATTTCTGTAAGGTTTTGAAGTATACTGTCATTTCATCTTAAAGATGCCATGAGCCTGAATAGAGTGGTGCTGGGAGAGATGATCTTCCTATTTTTCTAACAGCTTTTCTCATGTATTATGGTCCTAAACACAAGCCTTTGAAATCTTCTTAAAATAATTTTTATACCACATGCAAAGAAAATCCCCAAACACCTAAAACATGGGACTTTCAAGGAGAATCATTTTATTCTTATAAACATGACACTTTAACTTCTTTGACAAACCCTTGCTAGACATTTTTTATTAGGTTTAGTTTTCTCTGATGCATTTTCTGACTTTAGATGAAATGTACAACACCAAAATTTCAAGCATCTATTACTTTTTCTATATTTAGAAGCAAAGTCCCAGCCCACTTGTTAAGCAGTCTCTACTTATCTCTGTGTCCAATCAACAAAACTGGATTTTAGGCATAGTGGTCATTTTAATGAATTACTTCTCAAATGCTGTGAAATATAGTTCCTCAATTAATGTCCTAAAAAGTTTGAAGGGTTCTTTGGCTTTGGGAAAAGTACTTATGTATAACATCCTTTGTTTTTTTCAAGCAAGATAAAACAGCAATTTAAAACTATCCCAACTGTTAAAAACAAAGAGCTGGATGGAATCTAATTTACCATGTATGAATAGTTCTGCAGAAGTACCTGCCTGTGTTTTCTGTATCATAAGTAGGAAATGTGGGTTCCTGGAAATACTCCCAGAAGAAGAACCGGTAGAACTGCAGTATTCTCCTGAACTAAATATGAAGATTATGATGATGATGATGATGATGATTATATTTCATCATCATCATCAAGCATACCGAGCAATTTCTTGAAACTGTAGAGCTTTAATTTAATTTCATTTATGGATTAAAGAATTTGATAAGTGTTTCAGTCTGAAAATATGTGCTTCCAGTTGTCTTATGTTAAGCTAAGTTGTTTAGCAACATATCAAAACAATTCCATGAAAAGATTATTATCTTTTTTTTGATTAATCCCATAGGCAGCTTTTGCAAATGTTTTTGTACCGTAGATGATTGCAGTGAGGCATTAAAGCACATGCAGAGAACAAAATTCCCCCTGTGTATCCTTCTTGCCCTTCAAGTTATGTTTTAATGCCAACCTGATAGCACAGTTTACAGAACTGTGTGTACTTGGTCAGGGTGCTATTACATCTATTTAGCACCGATCCCTGACGAACACTTCGTATAGCCTTCCTTTACCAGTAAAAAATTTAATCTGATTTCCTGAGTTCTGCACAGTCCATGCTTTTCTGTCTGTTAAAAGTGGTCATAGGAGAGCTGTAGGAAAGCAGTGTTAAAACCACTGTAATACTTTCTTTCAGGAATTACAGCAGAAGTCATAGTGGTAGCCTCTTTTGATGAACTGCACAAAAGAGCTCAGGAGGCCAAGGGGAAGATTGTTGTCTACAATGAACCTTTCATCAGTTATGGTGAAACTGTGCGGTACAGAACACAGGGAGCAGTGGAAGCTGCTAAAGTTGGAGCAGTGGCATCCCTCATTAGATCTATTGCTTCTTTTTCTATTCACAGGTAAGCATTTTTCTCTTTTCTCTCTGTAACTCACATTTCAGCCTTTAGTTCACATGTCACTTTAGGGCAGACATTTTTGTTCTCTATGACTTAAGAATTGCCAGTTACGAGTGGGTGTTTGGTTTTGAAGCTATTGGCTGCACAATAGCTCTTTTCCCCTGTGCTTTGTCATTCTTTCAGAATGTTTTCATTTTTTCGCTACTGATCCAAATTTTGTATAATATTTGTTTTAAAGAACTTCCTGCGTTCTCAAGGATGCCATAAATATTCTGAGATCAACCAAAACCAAATGCCTTTGGTGACAACATGTACCGGACTGTCAGTGTTGGTGTGAACTGGTCATTCTGTATGTTTAACTACAGTGCTAGTGTACAGTTCTTAATGTATTGGTCATTTTCCTATCATGAGACTGACTTGTACTGGATGAAGGAGTAATCTACTTTGACCATAATTATTTAGAACACTTTATCAGTAAGTTTGTAATTCTCACACTGCTTTTTAAGTAAGGTATGTGTAAATAATGATTTTGTAAAAAAAATTAGCAGTTTTAGATGTCTTAGTACATTACTTATTTATCACATATAGTGTAATATGCCTGAAATTGTATTTTTTAATTTTCTGGATGGAAACAGAATTCCTTATTTTATCTGGGAATTTTTTCCAACTCTGAAAGCTTACGCATCTATTGTGAAAAAGGCTAGTTGAGGCATACAGAGGAAATGGAGAAGACTACAGCTGTAAAGTAAAAGGGTGTCAGATTCACACCATCTTTTAACTTAGTATTTTTTAAACATTACAGTTATTGGTGAGTTTAATGCCTGCAATGTAGTACTCTGTTGGCTGTGATGAGAGCCCTGGTCAGGCAGGCTCAGAGAGCAGAACTGGACTGAGGACTGCAGACAGGACAGACTCATCTCCTTGCCCACCTTTCTGTACCTGAGCTGCAGCCTGAGCAGGGTTGTCAGGGACTTTAAGTGATGACGGACACAAAGCTTGACTCTTTAAATTGTGGAGCAGTTTTTAAAAAACCACTTACATAAGAGAGCATGGTGTTATGCACTTATGCACGCAGTTTATACAAGAGGTGCTGTATTTTGTAACATTGTTCTTTCTTTGGCAAGTACGCATTAAGAGCAATTCAGATCATTTATTCCTCCTCCAGTTGCCCAGTAACTCCTTACCCACAGTGGAGTCATTGGCAGTAGCTAACCTGACCTTGACTGTGTGCCACATCATAAACTGGAATTGTGTTCGGTTTAGATAACACCATGGCTTCTTTTTTATCTCTGCTCCTTTCTGCAGAAGTCTAGGCTGGTAGGTGGGAGAGGTGATATGGCTTTGGGTTTTTCTTGAGGCTGGAACTGGGAAGTGACTGGGTCAGGCACTTGGAGGCATGCTTGATTCCACTATTTCATGGAGAACATGAGTGGTGACATCTCAGCAGCATGAGAAGTGTGCAAGCTTCACCATTTGTAATGCTTCAGGGAGTCTGATAAATAGTAATGCCACCTAACTGTACTGGAACACATGCAGAGGGCAGCTCTGCTGCCAGTATTGTTTCTTGGTAGCATTTTTATATGCTTGTCCTGGTTTCGGCTGGGATAGAGTTTATTTTCTTCTTAGTAGCTGGTATAGTGCTGTGTTTTGGATTCAGCATGAGAATAATGTTGATAATACACTGATGGTTTGGGTGTTGCTAAGTAGTGCTTACCCTAAGTCAAGGTCTTTCCACTGTCTCATGCTCTGCCAGTGAGGAGCTGTACAAGAAGCTGGGAAGAAGCAGAGTCAGGACAGCTGACCCAAACAGGGATATTCCATACCATAGGATGTCATGTTTAGTATGAAAGCTGGGAGGAGTTGGCTGAAAGGGGCTGACCACTGCTCAGGGATGGGATGGGCATCAGTCAGCGGGTTGGTGAGCAATTGCATTGTGCATTGCTTGTTTTTCTTGAGTTTTATTTATTTGTTACTGGTTTGGGGTTTTTTAATTACAATTATCATTATTGTTATAATATTTTACCTTTTTTTCCCAACTATTTAACTGTTCTTACCTCAACCCATGAGTTTTTGTATTTCTTTTTCTGAGTCTCCTTCCCACCCACCTGGGGGATAGTGAGCAAGCAGCTGCATGGTACTTAGTGGACAACTAGGGTTAAACCATGAAAATGCTCCATATTCCCCTAAGGAAGCCAACATTACCTGTTTAAAATGCTTTCTCAAAAATAAAGCACTTGAATTCAGATACTATCCAAACTATTACTAATGTTTTCCTTAGTGTCCTACAAATGTGATTTTGATGATGTATTTTCTAATAGTTATAATTTTCTAATAAAGTTCATAGTAATGTACAGATTGTAGAATATGTTTCAAGAAAAGTTTTATGAAAAATGATATGGTTTAAAAATAACCTTTTTTGGATCACCAAAGAATATTGCAATCTATAATGTGTTGATTATATGGAAACCAGAAGATTATCTGTCCTGTCCTTAGTTATGGTGCAGTGCAGAGGTGTTCATTTGAAAGTCACTCTTTGTATCTTCTGTTTGCCAGACCATTTATGAAAGCGCATTTAGCATGTAATGGAAAATTTAGAGATGAAGAACAGAGGTGCAGGCTGAGGCCTGTTTATTAGGTCTGGGTACTGGCATTGCAGCTATTTCAAAATTGAATGAAAAGAGAGAAGAAGTAGATGCCAAATGCATGTTTGTTTAGAAGTATTGAATACTTAATTGAGGCTGGGAGCTGAGGTGTCATTCCCAAAAGCAATTTCAAATTTAGATGCTGCCAGAAAGCATTTTTTCACTAAGTGTACTTCCTGTGCTTTCTTCATTTACCTTCGCTTACTGGGTTTTTGGCTGTGAAAGGGATAGGTTAATCTATTTTTTCCTATAATACAGAAGGTGTTCAGGTCCAGTCCATCACTTATGTTACTTCATGGTTGACTAGATCTGTTTGTCTTGTTTTTATCAAATAGGCATCACTGTAGGCAAGATGGATTTTCTTATCCCCATACCTTTTCCCATGTTTTCTCTTAATCACCAGCTATGTGTCTCCTTGTCTGTCCTACCAGTGCGCTGCGCTGGCTGGACCTTGTGCTGGATGTGGTACTCCTTATCAGTCAGTGTCTGGGGCATTGTTTGTTCAAGTCACTTGCCTATTAGATTGACTGATGGGAAATACTGCATTGCTGCAGGGAGTAGTGTGTTAGAAGAGTGAGAGATGAAAGGTAAAAAGGCAATAAAAGGCTTCCAAATGTTGTGAAACTAAGTCTTGTATTCTTGCAATTCGTATGCTGCTGTTTTCATGACCAGAGCCTTTACTTCTTTGGTCTCTGTGTTTACATGTGCACCAATAATACAAATAAATTACAATGGGATGGTGACAGTTTTCAAAAACATCCTGGAATCATCTTAAAAGAAGGTATCCTCCTTCTTATACTGCACTATCCCCCTTTCATCACGTAAGTGAAAGGTGAAACTTCACAATTTTCGCTAAACTGTATTGGCTTTGGTGGATGTTTTTCTGGGTTTTGTTTATTTATTTGTTTGTTCAAGGTTCATTTGGTTGTTGTTGGGTATTTCAACCCCTTTTGGATAGGGGCTGCTTATTGTTATTTACTTACTTTATTTGCTAGAACAAAGTAAGCCACTGTGGTGTGATTTCTAGGTGATCTTGCAATGTGAGTAATGACAGGTTAAAACTAGGTACTTTCTAGTAGATTAACATTTTAGGCTTATTAGGACTGATTATTGAAGCTTACTGACAAGACTGAATTGGTAAAATCACAACATGAATTAAATCCCTGTTCTCTTGCTGGAAGCTTGGAGGCTGTTCCTTGTTCCTGAGATGGCAAGTGGCTGCCACCTTGTCAAAGACAAAAAGTGTGAAGGGAATCTTTGACCAGGGATTATGTGGACAGTTTATTTTTCTTTAAGGTATGGTAGCATAGCAATGGAGTGAGTAAAATGCCCTGGGGACTCAGGCATCCCAACTCTGAATGAGGGCAAGAAGGGATGGACTTGATTATACTTGGGAAATCTCAGTGTTGTGTTTATATTGGGGTTCATCACACTCACTGGTAACAATTAAAGGCTTGAAGTATTTGTTGTTGAATTTCAAGGAGTGAATTCATTTATTTAGGACAACATTACTAAGTGAATAGGAAATAAAATTAGTAACTGCATCTTTCTTTGCCTATGAAGAGATGACAGTAGTTATATGGTTGGTATTGCAATGTTATGTGGCAGTTGTGTCTTGTGGCATTGTCTACACATTGTGTTAGAAGTAAGTTACTCTCTTGCTACTTTATAGGTAACATGTGAGAGTGGGGATTTTTTAGTTAGAAGAAAGTCATGTAATTAGTAGGTAATTTTCCCTGCTTTCCCCTGAATGGTGTGGGTTTTGTTTTGTTTTGGTTTTGTTTGTGTTTTGTTTTATTTTGTGTTTGTGTTTTCAGTTTTGGTTTTGGGTTTTTGCTTTGGTTTGTTTGTTTGATTTGTTTTTGACTTTTTTTTGAGGATGTCTCGGATCATAGGGGATCTCAAAGATCATCTAGTTTAAACCCTTGGGAGGGTGGGAGGGACACGTTCCACTAGACCAGGCTGCCCAAAGCTGCATCCAACCTGGCCTTAAACACCTCCAGGGATGGGACATCCACAACTTCTCTGGGCAGCCTGTTCCAGTGCCTCATCACCCTCACAATGAAGCATTTGTTCCTAATATCTAATCTAAACCCACCTTCTTTAAGTCTGAAGCCCTTCCCCTCTGTCATATCACCACAGGCCCTTGTAAAAATTCTCTCTCCATTTTTGTTGTAGGCTCCTTTTTCCAGTAACAGTTTTCTGAAGCACTGGCAATTGGATGGTGAAATGTTTGAACATGGATATAAGGAGTTAAGAGTAACGGAACTATTTTTAATGAACCTTCTCAAATAACATGTATTATTGTAATCACTCAATAGTATGCATACTATTTGGCCTTTTGGAGAAATATGGTTACTT